AAATTTTGAAGCCATTCTGCTAAGCCAAAAAAACATCAAAAATCGTCAAAGATGGGGGTGTCAAAACGTGCTCGCCCACTCACTATTTTGTTTTTTTTCACTTTTAACTTTTAGTTTTCACTTTATTTCGGGGCCTAAACAATTTTATTATTTTTTGAAAACATTTTAGTGAGTTATTGATTATGTAAACTACATATCTGTAAATTTTCAGGGCATTTGTCAATGCCAAAAAATTATTAAAAATCGGCAAAGATGGCGGTGTCGAAAAGGTGCTGGCGCACTCACTCATTTTAACTCTCTTTTTATTTTTTCTTATTTTTATCATAGTGTTTATTTTCTGTATTTGATTTTTAATTCAAATTTGGTAAAGAATTTGGATACAGTGCCCAGGCAAATGTTGTGTAGTTTATTTTTCTCCATGACATATGTGTTTTTCGGAATTTTTTGAAAACTTTGTTTTTTTTTTTTTGTTTTTTTTTGGGTCCGCGTTCGGCCCGAACGGCCGAACGCCTTCCCAAGGGGTCCCGTACGTTCGGGCGTTCGGCCCGTCCCGAACGCCGACAACCCTGGTAATAATAATAATAAAAAATAATAAAAAATAATAAAAAATTCATTCGGGCCACATTGCACTCACGACTTGGGGCGCTCTCCGATTTGGAGGCCAGGAGGCCCACTTCAGACAGAGACGGTCCAGCACTGTCCACCATGTGCCCACAAAACCTGTGAGGAGAATGCTACCTAGTCTGCACAAGGTAGAAACACAGGCCTCCACGAGAGGTCTTCCGAAAATGGCCTTTTACAGGCGGGAGGCTCAAGTGATTTCGCGAGTGCTCTCAGGAGCCACATCTGACGGCTCCCGCATTCAATCTGACAGGTCGAGCTCTGGAGCTGGTGTGGCGACGTGCAGTCCCGAAAATTGCCAAGTTGTCCTTGGGGACATCTGTAAAAATTGGAACCTAGCTCAGTTGGTACACCCCATGGGGCCTTTCTGCACTACTCTCGACATGCACAAAAGACGAAAATTATGGCTGTGTATCTTTCCATATTCTAGTCGAAGATTCACTCTCGTGTTGCACATTTCAAAAATAGTGCAGCGTGGCCCATGAACTGTTGAAATATAGACCTGTGTTCGAATCCAGATACTATGAGATGAAGAGAACAAAAGCATGTTGAATTGCATGCGGGCAGTCAATTCAATGATGATATCTTAAGGCCGTCACCTTTCTTAAAAAAAAAAGAAAAAAAAAATTGGAACGATACAGAGAAGATTAGCATTGCAAAAAAAAAAAAGACCAACTCGGAAGTAGTGTGGCGAGGCTCTTAGTTGCACCAGTAGCCAAAATATTGCAGGCGGCACCAAAAGAACACAGACCGCCATATACCCTAACCATTAGGGGTAAGGGGTAACATGAAATCGCACCCTTCACAGTGAGAAGAAACTATGCTTGCAGGGGTCCCCTCTAGAGAGCGGTACGAGTAGGTAGTGAAAAGCAAAAGAACAGAAGTTGAGAGAAGAATGTAGAGAAAAAAGGAAAAATTTGTTTGGCGCCCCTGTAATTTGCGGTTTTTGCGTCGCACCCCTTCGACGGCCGATTTACCCTGTCGCGCCCCTTGGCCAAAAAATATTTCCGGCAGGCCCTTGTTGGTAGTGACCGCAACTTTCCAGGACGCCCTCCTTGGACTGGCGGTCCCATTTCCATCGGGCCCTGTGCCATATGCCCTCATGA